CAGAAAGACGGAAGTGAAATGAAAAATGAAATCAAATATATATAAATTAATAAGCTAATAAAGGAAGAAATAGCATATTTATATATGTTAATGAGTACATAGCATTTATCGCATGAAGATTATCGGGGTGGTTGATATGACCAACAATAAGTGTACTTAAGCTGGGGTTATATGGATATTGTATGTTAAGTAGTACTTGAGATAAAAAGAAGTGATGAAATATTTGAGTGTATTTGAAGGGGGACAGTTTCAGTCTCTATACGCCGGGGGGGGGGGGGTCGGATGTTGATGCTAGTGATATTTTGCCCGCACACAATTTGCTTTGGCAGATAATGATAGATGTCATGTTTTCTGCAAGGATTTGATGAAGATGCCTTTTTACTGAAACCAGTAAACAGTATATATATTTGTTTTCTTCATTCAGTTGAAAAGCAAGGCCTATTTTTGCTCATTTAGCGTTTAATATGTGAACACATGTTATAGAGAAATATTATGATAATAAATGTACGATAGGTCTGTTGTAACTTTGTGGGTTGAAACAACAATAACCTGATCAATGTGTGAGAGGTTTATTTGCTTTTCAGAATTTGAACTGTAATGAGGTATAAGAATATTCTTACCTATAGCACCGGGACAGGATTTCATTAAATGGCCACCTAAAATATTGGATTTTTAAGGGACTTACTTCTTAAATTCTGCATATATAGCCTCTGTATCTTACCGTTTTAAGAAGAATTTATCTTTTAATAATTTATGTTGAATTAACGAATTAAACAAACCCCTTCACCCCTCACACCAAAATAGGCCTATATAGAAATACATGTAGCACGTAATGAAACAAAAATCATCCCTTTATGTTGAACGCCGCATATCTAGATGTGAACATCGAAGATATAATATTCCTTTCTTTAATTGTGAGATCACTTCAAAATGCACTTTCACACCTTTTTGTAACTAGAGGACAATTAGGAAAACACAAAACTATATCCGAAGTGTTTTTTTATAAAACTCGCACGCTCTTTGATTTCGTATTTACATGTTATATTTATCTGTTCTTAGATTTGTGTCATTGTGGTTTACTTCGATTGGCCTTGCTTCTTGTTGCTAATCAGTTGGGATCCAAGTTCTAGTCTCAAAAGTTGTTTAAACAGTAAGAAAAAAGATAGCCTCGGATGTTTGCAATTAAGTCCCAATGTTGGTATTAAGAAAATCCCAGTCAACCGAATAAGCATTATTGCCAGTATGTGATAGAGTGCCAATCGTACGAATGGATTTGAGCGATAAATTTGACAGTCTTGACGTTGAATTATAGGTACATTGGTATATTATGGAATAAGTAATGTTGTAAAACAGGGGATTACAGGTCATTACACTATTACTCGCTGCTGACACTCATGTTTTCGTTTCCACTCTGATCTCCAACTAAGTAACTAAATTCTTGAAATAAATACCGAAGTTATCAAAATGGTTTAATGCCAAAAATATACCTTTAATCTTAGGAAAACGAATTTATATTAAAACAGAAAAGGCAATATCGATGTACTTTGGATGGTGAATTATTGGTAAGAAAGGAGAGTTCGGAATTCATTACAGGTTTATGTTATCAATATCCTACAAATTGCACTTTTACGTTCGACCCGCTTACAAAATACCTTCATACTTCCACCCATAGTTCATTTTAAATAAAGATTAACAATCTTTTCCCACTTGAAAACTGATGAACTCCATTTAACCGTATTTGCTCAAAACTCCATTCGACACACTGGACCAAACACTCTTTTTATTAAATTTCGGAAACCAAGCACTCTTTTTAAAAAGGTGTTAAAACTAGGCTAGTATGCAATTATAATTGACTCGTGTTATATTCCTCATTTTGTATTTTGTGTACATTAAGGTTGAATCAGTCGACATTGTCTATGACCAAGAACAGCAAGTTACTCTTTACTTATATATATATATATATATATATATATATATATATATATTAATATTTTGAGTTAATCTGAAGGCTGCAAGCATATTTAATTCATATTTACTATGCATAAACCATGTTACTTATTCTTTAAATTTCCTTTATAATGCCTTGTACTCAATTTGAATTTGGAAAACAATATTTTGAACTCAAATTTATGACCTGGCACATTAATGCACGTGAATATATAAATGGTCTTTAAAAAAAGATGACATATCTTTCTTTTCTTTTTTTAATCAATTTCTCAATGACTCAATTTCTCAAATATATGGTCTAGAAATTCATGAAACGTTCAACAGAGAGGGTTGCGGGCTTAACATTTACACAAAACATGTGTTGATCTTGTTGTCACATTAGGTGTAGATAAACAAGGTATGACAGAAAGAAGGAGAGAAAGAGAAAGAGAGAAGACAGACAGAGGGAGAATAGAGAGAGAGAGAGAGAGAGAGAGAGATGGTGAGAATAAAAAGAGGAGTGTAGACAGCGGAGGGAGGGATGGAGGAAGAGAGTGTGTGTGTGTGTGAGAGAGAGAGAGAGAGAGAGAAAGAAATAGAGAGTTATTTTCATCACTACCAATTTGTTTAATGTGGGCGGAAGGGCGTGTACGTGTGTGGTGTGTGTGCGGGGGAGGAGGACGGAGAAGGTATCTATTTATCTCGCGTGTCAACACTTCAATAGAATGGATACTGAAAGTGATATGCCATACATAATCGGTTTTTAGATACTATATATTAGAAATAAACTCGTCTTTCCAGGGAGGAGGTCATATACCCAAACTCATCAAAAGAGGGAGCACTTTCAATAACCTAGGCAGAGCCAACCAGACAGAAGGTTCTCAAAGGGGAGAAGAGATATTTGGCCTTGAATTCCACGATTCCTTATCAACTATTAACGTACAAGTAGTGGGGCCAACCCTTTTGAGAGGTCTCCTATGGTGACCAAAACATAAATAAAATAATATATATTTTTAAAAAAGGCATGAGACTGAGAGATTTCAAGTACGGTGTTCGTTGTTGAGAGAGTGGAAAGGCTGCTGAACCGAGCTCCAACACCGACGGTCAGTTTAGAAGGACGATAGCGATCACGCGTGCGCGTTATCGGTAGCTCAACACCAGCCTCAACACGAGTGACGTCCTACTCTACACACGAAAAGCCTTGTGATAAAAGCATAATCCATTCAGAAAATCCTCTAAATTACATCATATCGAATATCAAATGTATATTCATATTAAAAAGTATATAGATAAAACATATTTCTGTTGAAAAACATAATAGTTCCAATGATTTACTTCTGTTTTGCCTTTAAAATGGATTTTTACCTTAGCATGATCGGGAGATTCGTGCCAGATGTCCGCATAGTTACCTGCGGTATACTGCAACACCAACACTAACACCGAACTTGAAATCATGAATTTCCCAATCCCTAGGGGCTGGTGTTGGTGAATGGGAAAATTACTTACTAGTAAATCGTCAACACCAACCGCGATACTCAGTTCAGCAGACGACATTCAACACTAGCCCTCAACACAGACCACCGGAAATACGTCATATTTCCCGAGGTCAATCCCAAAACCAGCCTTATTTCAAGTTCGGTATTGTGGCTGGTGTTGGTGTTCTCACAACACCAACACCAGCTTTCAACACCGAACTTGAAATCACTCATTTTATTTCCGATATGCCTACGCCTAAATTCAGGTAAAATCTTGGTATCAATTATTCTTGGAATATCACAATGAAAAAAGACGGATAAAAAGTTCATACTTCAAGTGGTTTTAAAAATATCGCAGCAATGAGCCTAAATTTAGCCTGAATTTTAGGAAATTGACCTCTATGACCTTTGACCTTTAACTACGTACCTCAGGAATTCATCAGATCGCTTTTCATTGGTGATTCCCCCCCCCCCCCCTACCAGGTTTGAAGCGCGACCATACCTCTAGTGATTCTTGAGTTATTGTGATAACAAATTATTTTTATGCAATGAACTCCATGAACTTTTGCCTACTTACTTCAAAATCTAATAATACAATCTTCATATGAAGACACAATATATATCATCAAGAATTTTCAAGTGCACACCTCAAGTAGTGCTAGATTGATGGAAATAAACATTAACAGCTACATTTAAATTCCAATAGTGCCTGAGCAGTGGTGTCGATGCGAACAAGCCGAATAATTTGCTTCACCTTAGAGGGAGACATTCCATTTATGAGAATTCATGGTTTGAAAAACTCTGAGTATACATACAAGAATGAGATGAGAGGATCAAATGTCGTAAATTTCTATGTTCTTTTTTTTTTGAAGGATTTATTTTACCTGGAAAAAAGAAATTATACATCTAGGTCAAGCCTTTATCAGTACAAAATCTTTCAGAAAACTTTTCTCAATTTCACTGAAACTCAAAACCACGGATTTTGCAGTGCAACATTGCTCATTTCCTATCATAGTACGTGTAAAATGATTTATTAAATAATTAATTTCGATACAAAATATATAAAATATATTTTGGTATCTCCCTGTTAACAAAAAAAATATTTTCTGGCACCTCATTACCCACATGTGGAGGTATTTAGGATCTTGGCTGCTTGAAGTCATGCTGTTATTAACTTTTAAGAGCGAGCGTGCTAAGTCTTTATTATATTAAAATTACTCATGAAATTATAAATTCTTGCGGGTTTGAACCTTCGGATTGTTGTCATTTAATCTACGTTTTTTCAACAATACATTTGTGTAAATAACCGAATTTTGCTCGTGTCACCCGTAGGTATGTGTTTCGGCACTCAGGGTACTACGGCATCCTTGTTGTACAACGCTGTACTTGAGGGTCTAAATTTGAGGGGGCATATCGACCAGGTCGGGGGGGGGGATATATTCCTTGCCCCTTTAAAGTAGGAAAATACTCCATATTCGTTTTTTGGTAATGATTTGCTAATCAATTTATAATTTATATTGTGTTGATATTTTTGGTACTCATCATGATTGTTCCAACAATACACACAGACAGAGACGAATACAAGATAAAACACTCTGATGATTGTATCATGTATTCCCATTTATTTGCAGATCGCACAAAACAAGAGGAAAACATGTTAAATCAGAAACAATCTACTAGAAATGCATAAACTATTAAACTACCTATCATTGGCATGAAATAGTGAGGCCTGAAGCAATATTTTACTTTCAAAGGTATTTAAGACCAAAGTCAAACATTCATATGGCATGACCCACATTTGATGCATCAGCTTAAACTTGGTAAATGGAGAGTTTGACTGCACATTTAAAAACACCGTTGCTCCTTCATTCGTTGCAAAATATATGAATAGGGTATCGTTAGACAGAAAAGTTAGTTCCTATATAAAATGAAATAAAAAATTTAGGTCACATAAATGTTGACTTGTCAATCATACGCTACTTAAGTTGGGTATCATTTTTAGTTACACACTATATACACTGTTCAAATATAAAATTATCGATGAAAACGTCTAGAAGATAAATTAACTTCATTTAAATTTGAAAATATATACAGCTCTCTGAAAGTTGCTGAATCATCAGACTCAAACTGAATAAAATAACAACAGCTCACTATAGTTTTTGAACAACTAGACCACATATGCAATACAAGTACTTTTGTTCCGTTGGATAGGATGCCTGCAATGAGTGAACATATTAATAACCATGGATTTGTAATGCATGAACAAACTATAATCATTACAGCTGAAAAGGGTATCTCTTGACTTTATATGAACTTTAAATCATTACAGAGACATGCACTACATGTTTGAATATATAAATCGAGTCAATAGGGAAAATTACAGTTCAGTACACATCATTTTTGTAGTGCCAAAATATGTCACTTCATATGTTCTTGGAGGTCCACTGAGTGCATCAGTTGGCTGCCAGGGAAGAGGAAAGCAAACTAAATCACTGTAACCGTAATGGTCCCTCTTCCTGACCAACTGGTGCATCCAGAAGACCTGCAAACTATAGCATGAAGGTAATTAAAATACAAAACGTTTCATAAACAAACCAGCAAACAAAAACAAAGCACAAGGAGGAAATCAAATTAATATGTATGGTGACACTAGTTAATGACACGATACTGAACATAAACATGAGGAATTAATTCTGGCTCAAAAACTATTGCATAAAATGTTTAGTAGGTATAAAACTGAAACCATGAAGTATAAACCTGAGAAAAGAACAAAATGTGAGAGCATGTAGTAGCGCACTGACAAGAATGCCTAAAATCGTACAGGTTGACCAGTATATAGAAGTTAAGAAAATCTCAGAAGAAGTATGGAACATAATCTAGTATAATTAACAGACCAACATTAGTATATGTAGTCTACGTATACTCAAATTGTTATGGTAATAAATACCAGTATCGATCAACGAATAGCTTAAACAGATATAAGGTCCAAGAAACTTTATATACAACATACATACATATTCATGACCTACTGTCAAGCCCGAAAAAAAAAGAAGCATGCAAACTTAGCGAGTCATCACAAATATGTAATTTCCCGTTGTGTCTAAATGAACATTGCATTACTTAAACAGTCAATATGAATTAACAACATGCAGCCGTTTTGGGCAGATAAGGATCAAAGTTTCCACCTGCAATAATGTCAACATCATTTACATTAATTATATTTTTTTTACTAAGAGTTAGAGATGGAAAACAACATGTAAACCTCGCAGGCTACCAATTCTTGAAAGCATGCCTGTGAAATTTTCTACGCAAGCGAGTTTTGGTCATCATCTTACCATTCTTTTCCATTTCTTCACCTCTTTTGCTCTGTCTTCTATCTCAATGCAGATTACCTTCACATGTAAATGCTCCTTTACTTTATAGTATAACACATTTAAACCATGTCGAATATTTCTGGTGAAACAATGACCAAGAAATTATGAGTACTTCCTTTATCTTAATACAGTATGATCCTAGATAATGAATACTACTGCTGAGGAAACATACGATGACCGTGTAATGTAACGTACAATGAGATAAGTCAAACAACTGGAACAAATGCATTGACGGGTAAACAATGTTAAGATACTAGTTATCTGTGAAATAGTATTCAATCATCTGCACAGTAATTATCAACAATCAATTATAACGTTTTCCAGATATACACAATCCAAACGACCAAATAATTGCTCTTTAGAAGTATTTACATTATTGTGTGCCATGCTGGCAATTTAGGCAATTTGAACAAAATAATTTTCCAGAAAAACTTTGTATTCAGCTGTCAATTGCTCAAGAACTTCTTCATGCACAATTATATCCCTCAATTTAGTATGAGGATAGATTATTCTCAAAAATCCCGTTTCAAATGATAATACGTTGGCACAAGTCCCTCTGGTTGCATGACTAAGCTTGCCTTTCTGTTCGCCAACTCTCGGATATCCATTTTTTTCAACACACAATCATACGGGAGCACATTCATATTCTGGCCAAACTACTATCTACATCTATATCAGGGTTTTATGCCATCAACTTTACAAAAGGCTCTTCCTGAATGTGTTTGGGGATAACTGCCGTTAAACCTTTGACAACTATGTTCTTGCCATCTCTTCTCTGACAGGTACTCTTCTTCAGTCCTTTCCCAGAGCACTGTTTCTAAGAAACGTCGTTGGTCTGATTACAAGAGGACGATTGCTTTTTAGCATTTATTCTGCACAGGTAGTCTGCTAATTTGTCCTTTTGTTCTGCAACCGCCAGGGTGTGTTCACAAAACAAACGATCATGTAGTAGAAATGATCTGCATTGCTCGTCACAAGCAAAGAAGTCATCCTGGCATGACACCTTAAAGAAATCCTTTTCATCAAAGCAAATGTATTGAGAGCTAGTGGATGGAAAGTCAACAATGCTACGACTACAATCGATGATCTTCTCAGCCTTACTCCAAACAGCTTGCAATTCGTACGGCAAAAGTCCCTCGATTCCACTCTCTTCGGGAGAAATTGAAAGCGCCTCAACTTTCTGTCCTGGTGCACTAATATCGGCGCTCTTAAGTGGTACCCTTCTCTCCTCTGAGTTCATGTGAGCCCATTGCAGTGGTGTTGTTTCAAGATGCTTATTGACTGACCCTTTCTCGCCTGATTCTCTGATTGATGTTTCCAATTCTGTGTACTTCGACTTCACAAAGTCTTCTAGGCTATCAACCAGTTCATTCCATGACTTCTTTCCTCCAAGCCCCTTGGCGATCAGAGAGTTCATACATTCGCACTCGTCCCGTCGTGGGTCTCCTAATCCTGTCTGCTGCCTAACTGGCTTCAACATGCACTCTTTGACCTCTTGTGATTGATGTTGCATGAACCAAGTCGCAAATTCAGGATCCCTTCCTGTCTCTGCAGTTTCTAGACCGTTCCATTTGGTACACGAATGTAGAAGGGCTTCTTCATACTCATTGTCATTCTCACAGTCTGCCAGTCCCTGGTAACGTATTTCATCGACTTGCTCTCCAAAGATCGATCTCAGTATTTGCGCAGTGTTTTTGTGCAGTCCAAGTTCATGAAGCTTGCTCTCAACCTTTCTGCGATGATGCTTCATGCAGAGCAGATGCTTGGAATTGGAAAAACTTGGTGAACTTGCCAGGCCTTTGTACATTGCTATATCTCCATCTGTCTTGAAGAATGGTACTTGCTCATTTCCCAGATGTTTGGAGAGTTGGTTTCCAAAGTACTGGTACGTTTCAGTATCTCTTCTTTCATGCACCAGAAATGGGCCAGGCATGATTACATTCTCTTCATTTTGTTTATTCATCAAGTTATGATGTCTGTACGATGCAACAGTAACATACATTTGACCAAGGTCAAATGGACCAGTAAACGAAATGCTACTGCCCGCAGTACAAGTTCTTTTCATGTCCTCGATCTGTTTGTCTGTGTAAGCAACACACCTTTGATGAGAGCCTTCAATTTTATCATTAGAGATCTCGATGCTTCTTACAAATTGTTTCTTTTCAGCCAATTTGTTCAAATCAATTTGTTTCTTCCCTGCTGTACAATGTGAGTAGATTTGTTGTCTATCACGTTGCAATGATGCAGCTGCATCATTGCCCACAGTAGTTTCCTGATTTTGGAACTTGTCATCAGGTCTGCCCTGTGTTGACTGACTTGAAGGCTCTTTCAATTCTTCATTCGAAGCCTTCTGTGGTGGGATGAAGGGACTATTACTCTGTTTACAATTCTCTTGTGGTGTCAGTGTTAAGGCTGTCTTCTGCCCTCTCCATTCGTAGCGTATTAAGGCGATCGGACATTCCAACACTCCGTCTTTTTGTAGCTGGTATATTATTCTGAAAAATCCAGGGGTATCTCTGTGAGGATAATATCTGCGAATAAGTGTGTACCTCTGAGAGCCAGGCTTGGGACCCTCTTTCAACAAAAAGATGTTTTGGTCATTATCCACAACTAGCTCATATGTATATCTTTTGGAGTTCTTGTACTTACCGGTCCCATCGCATGTAAGGTCCTGGTCAAATTCAAGTTTCGAAGTATCCACAAGAAAAGCAAGTTCATCGCCACATGCTAGTGGAAGACATGTGTTTTCTTTGGTAGTTGGGAATAGCATCAATTTCGCAACACTCTTGATATCGTTGAAGAAAGCTTTGGTAGATTTGATGGCGTGCCATTTCTCCCTGTAGAGTATGCATTCAAACCTGTTAATCGTCTTCAAGCGTTTCGGTTCTGGTTGTATGAGGTCTGGGCGAGACCTGGTCATAGAAGAAGAAGAAGAAATATACAAAGTACACTAAACTTCATCTCCAATATACTGCAAATATTGTGTTGATCCTTTTCGATTTCATTTGCACATTAGTGTTTGTTTTTATATTACGGTTCAAGTCACTTCAAATTGAATAACTCTTGTTTAATTCCTCATTCTGGATTCTTCTCTTCCCGTTATTGTTGTGCTTTGATGTGTCTTTTCTGTAGAGTATTATAACTGAAATTGCCAGGATAATTAAGCAGTATATGTTAACACATCGTCTCAAATTCATTATTTTTTCCATTGATTTTTGTTTGTTTTCATTCAGAGTTACCTCGTACCAACATTAGATTCCATTTTAATACCTAAATTTACCCAAAATGTATACTTTAAAGTAGGTCCGTGAGACCTTCTGAATATCTTGTGAAAGATATAATCCTACCTTTGCTGTACTTCTACTCTTGAGCAGCTAGGGATCGGTGATATATCTTCCTCATATGACGACAAATCCATGGTGCTATTAAAGAAAAATCGGAGAAAAGAAGAAATGTATAGACAGAGTTGTATGAACGTTTAGACCTTCCTGTACTTGGCTATTTGAGCTGCCCGTTAATGGGGAAGACTGTTTTCCAAGTCCCCCGCCTTTCCACTGGTATTGCAAATTTTCATAGACTTGGTTTTAAAAAATGTACACGACTTGGAGAAAAGGCAACAAAGTTAAGAAATAGCAATAATGTAAAACGAAGAAGTTGGAAATCCCCTCCCCGTACAGTAAGGGCTAAACCGCCATATGCACAATAACTTTGCTGTTTGTCAGGTTTCACTTAGAAAAAGATTGAGTGGGCAAGAAAGATATTCATTTAAACAAATGAAGGGTAGAGTTCTCTAGTTACTTGTCAAAAAGGCGAAATATTGTGTCAACTTTTTGGGTAACAATTAATTTTTTACAATAAAAAAAAATTATTGATAAAATTATTATGAGATTGTACAAACCACATTTAGAATTACATTCTGCAAATGTAAAATTTAATAAAAACTTGTCTAGAGCTATTGAAGTTTGAATTAAGTTGATTTCGTTTGTCTTTTTTATTATTGTGATTATCTTCTCATTAGCTAAAATAATTACACCTTCAAGCATTGTTGTGGTTGCAAGGTGAGTTCCATTCAGAATCACTCAAGTATAGGATGAGGAATAATATGTCCTCAGTTTTTTTAATTGCAGCAATGTATCTGAACCACATGGCTAGGCCCTTACAAGTTTATATCAAGCGAAGTATATTGAACAAAAAGAAATGCGCTAATGTATGATAATGTTCTGATAGGTAATAATGGTTAACAATGATACTTTCGTCCTCATAAACTTTCAAAATATCCATGATTTCGCACAATAACAAACTTAGCTCAGAAACTTCACTTTCCCTTCACCTGGTTTGAGGCTCGATCATACCTCTAATGATATTTGAGATATTATGATAACGAGGCCCGAACCTTTATTTTCAGATATTGAACTATTTGACCTTTTGCCTACTTACTTCAAAGTCTCTTTAGATAATCTTGCCACGATGACATAACATATATTGAACAAGAAGTTTCAAGTTCATACCTCGAGTGGTATCAGGTTGATGAAAATAAACATGAATATTTAAAGTACGGTATTGACTAAGCAATGGTGCTAACGTGAACAAGCCGAATTATCTGCTTCAACGTAGACGGGGACATTCCAATTAATATGAGAAATCATACTTTGATCGAGTCTGAGTATATATTCAAGAATGAGAAATCGTAATAAAGTGCCAGTTTTTTTTTGTTAAGGATTAAGTCACCTGGAAATAAAACATTATACAGGTCAATTGTGTATCTGAAAAAAGGTTTTAGGAATCACTCTAAATTCACTGGAACTATAAACAACAACAAGATTTTGCAGTGCGACATTGCTCAATTCTTGTCATGTGAAATGATTTATTTAATACTTAATTTCGATGAAAAAGATATGATATCTATTTGGGTACCTCATTCAGTCTTTATGGCGAATATGCCTCTGTAAGCAAGCATCGGTATCTTAAATTTGAAGTTTGAAATCGGGCTGGGACGAATAATCGATGGCTGGTATCAAGACATAAATCCTCACCTAGAATAATAAGAAGACGACGGATGGTTTGAAACTAATTGGGGGGGGCAGGAATCGCTAAATCACTCACACAGAAAGAATATAATAGCTCACATTTGTTTTAATTTACATCTTTCCCTATAACTCAACCTCCTTGAAGACCGACTGCAACAACGAGCGCACATAAATAGCCTTTGAGGTAGACTACAACGCCTACGCATGTGGAATTCCCCAGTTTTCGTGAAAAACATAACACGTCGTCTGAATATGACAGGGTTCCCAATGTGTGTATCTAGGAGTACGTGTGTGTTTGTGAGTACACATGTATATCTATGTAGTCAAAGTAGTACTTCAAACATTCCCCCTTTTCGCAATACTCGAATTGTAAACATTGATCTTATACAGATTTGAATATAATATATTTACACTTCTCCTCTATCTTTTTTTATTTTCGTTGAAATTATGTAGATTATGTACGTAATTTGTATGTATCATATGTCTGTTTTGTTATGGTGACCCCACCACAAGTGTCACTATTCTTGCTTCAAGTCGAGTGTCTTGCTTCATTCCTAAATATCATTGTAATTATATATTTTAAAGTGAAACACAACTACATAATTTGTCTGTCTCCCTTCCTGGTTGATATGCCTGAAGGACGACACGGGGGAGAAGTGTGTGTGAGTGAGATAGAGAGGGGGAGAGAGAGGGAGAGGGGGAGAGAGAGGGAGAGAGAGAGAGAGAGAGAGAGAACGAGACAAAGAAAGAATGAGAGAGAGGGAAAGGAGAAGGAAACAAAGAAATTAATGAGAGAGAGGGAGAGAGAGAACGAGACAAAGATATAATGAGAGAGAGGGATCGAGAGAGAGCAAAAAAGAGAGAATGAGAGAGAGAGAGAGAGAGAGAGAGAGAGAGAGAGGGGGGGAGAGAAAGAGAGGACAGAGAAAAGAATATATTTATTACAAAATCATATGTGGTCAGAATAAAGTACTTTAGAGATTTCCCTTTATTGCAGCATTCGGATTTTTACCATGGATTGTGTTAATTATAGAGAAATCGGCTCTTTTCTTACAAAACATATATAATAAAAAGTAGTATTAAAAATACATTATGCTATGAATGCTTTGCGGACTATGCTTGTACAAGGCCTAAGGGCTTTATTTATGTAGTTCCCCATTTCATTTCTAAATTTGTTCTTGAATAATTTGGTATCTTTTGTATCAATGTAATTTTTAATTTAATTCAATTCAATTCAATTACATGATAACATAAATAAAAGCTGTAAAATAAAACATTCGGCCTTTATAAACAGGAATACAGCGAATATTCTTTTGTAAGCAAGCTGCGGAATGTCGTTAATGTTGAAGTGTTAAATCGGGCAGGGACGAACGATCAATCGACCGGGGTCGATATCAACTCGAAAATCTACACTTAGAATGCTGGTTTTGAAAAGTATTTAACATAATAACTGGGAAAATAGCAATTGCTTAACCACTAACACAGAAGTAATGATAAAGCTAACAAGTTATCTTACACCTTCCCAATAACTCAACCTTTTCTTCAAGACCCGATGCAACTTGAAAGCCCAACGGTCTCACATAAAGAGCCTTTGAAGCAGACTACAACGCCTTAGCATGTGGGAATCCCCAATTTTTTTTTTGAAAAACATGCACGTCGTGTGAAATATTACTATAACTATTTTTCCTCTATGTATATTAAATATATCTCTCTCATTATATCATTAGCAATAAATTTTGTAGATATTAGACCAAATGATAAGAAGACGAAATAATTATTAGAGCATATGGATGGTAGATCAAATGGTACTACAACAGTTGGGTAATAAACAAAGGGTTATAAATCAAACGTTCATTAGATCTAATATTTATTAGACGATTATAATTATAATTGGCAAATGGAAAAAAAGTGGGTTATTGACCAAATGGATACTTTAACGAATAGTTTATAGATGCAACGATAATTAGATGAAAAAATTATTAGACAATATGGATAATAGACAGGCTGGGTCTATACTATATGGGAATATACAAATTGGGTATTGGACGAACTGATGGTAGACCAAACGGCAATACGGGACCACTCCTTACATTTAAACCTTCATACACCTTGTATAATATTAGAGCCCTTATTTTGTTAAAACTCACCTGCTACACACAATAGATCCACGAACGCAAAGATAATCCAAGCATGGACGTATTTCCGTGTTCGACTGTTATCTTGTTGAAAGTAATATTCCGGTTATACGTACACTCTGATCTACACCAACGTAGTACCAAACTTCGTCTGATCATATGTTTGTCAGTCAGTATGCCCACTGTTGTTATCTTTAGAACGATGCGTGTTCCCGTGCCCTTATGAAGTCGCACTACTGAATTAGACATAATGTTTATTCAACCCTATCATAAAATCTGTCAAAAAGATTCAGTGACTGGCACAAAGGTGTGCCTTTCTTATTTGGCAAGGAATATGGAAAAACCCAATGTGGAGTTATAATTTCTCAAAAAAACATCAGCAGCGCAATAACCATTTAAAGCATTCCGTCTTACACTCATTAAGAGTAGCTAGTCGGCTGGGAAAATCACCAAAAAGTGACTGCGTTTCCTGAGATGGTGCAGCTATAAATTACTTGACATACACTTTAATGTTAGATCTAGTCCACAGGCTAACACTTAAATCTAAACAGCATTTATCCCCGCATATATAAGGGAATCCTGTAATTTGAACTACGGTATTCACAGCCTAATTAAGAAGACTGGGTGGTTTAGGAAGATCCAAGTGGTATTTCAATGTGAAAGTTGTCAACTAGATTTTAAGGGGGGCACAACCCTTTTCATTATTTGGGGCAACCATCAACAAAAAAGGATTTTGAAAGTTACTGGTGGATAATTTTAAAATGAATATGAGCCTATATTCTGCTCATTAAAACAGCACCTATGAGGTAGATTTAGGTCTATCAAATTACAATAAAACTGAAATGTAAGACATAAAAGTAAGGATGTACTAATCTTTAATTTTTCGATCTAATGTAGTGCAGCTACTTTTAATTTAAATTTCTTTATTTTCGCTTGTTGGTTTCATTATGCAGGTTGTCACAGGAGGTTTGATTACCAGGTTTCGTTCTTGGTATATATCGAGGAACATGAAAGTATTATATATTGCATAGTAGAATTATAATGTATCCGGTCAGACTATAATGATACGTAATTTGTTGATCTTATAAGAGACTTCATGAAATAACTGTTGTAATTATTTATTCCTTAATTGAGTTGTTTCAATTATAAGTAATTACCTTGAGATTGACACTCATGTCCTTAGTGTGCGGAGTAAAATAAGCGTGAAGAATTGCAAAAGTGGTGGAAGATGATGATGTGAGAAATAATATGAAAGA